GGTGTCATGATACAACATTGTGCTTGATGCATGTGCACTGTTATAAAGAACTTGTTAGATTTACTAGAAAAAAATCCTCGTAACAATTTGGACAGACGTTTGATAAGTACATTTAAAAGCTACAAATTCATGTAATATTTACTCATCATTATCTAGTAAAAGTTATTAAGAATATAGTTAAAGATTTGTGAATAAATCAGGTAAATTTTACTTAATTTGATCAAGTATTTGTTACAAGATTTAATTGAGCAAATTAAGTAAAATTTACCTGATTTATTCACAAATCTTTAACTATATTCTTAATAACGTTTACTAGATAATGATGAGTAAATATTACATGGATATGTAGCATTTAAATTTACTTAACAAACGTTAGTGCAAATCGTTTACAGGATTTTCTCAAGTAAATCTTACAAGTTAGTTTTTACGGTGTAAAGGTGAGTTTTGTGCCTCTAATTCCAGGGAACTGACCTCCACCCTGCGCTCCACTCCGATGTAGTCCGCCTCGGGTGGGATGAGCGTGTGCAGCTCTGTCTCGTAGGACCCCTCGCCTCGGTTCACAGCAGTGATGGTCAACATGACCAGGTTGTCCTCTCCGATCACCAGCTCTGCACGATCCCTGCGTTTTAAAAAAGACATGTGAGTGAAGAGTGGGAAAAAATGGCTCGGCTTCATGCGCAATCATCTGCAAAACATTCAGCTCCTCCACGCCAACGAGCATGTATGTGTTAGTGCACGGTGAGGAAAGGATGTTTACATAAAACTGCCATGGAGATGTCGAACAGCTGGGGAAACAAAAAAAAGACTCGCTAACTCATGTTAAAACGGACTAAAATGTGAGCGAGTTCAACGTAAACTCTGCTCATTGTTTGAGGATCAGCAGACACATTCTCTTTGTTTGAGTTCACGTTTGTCTGCGTTTCTGGAGCTGCTGAGCGTTTACAGGCTGGGGTCAGAGGGCGTGACTGCAGGGGTCTTACATGCTGGCAGAGAGGTGGAGGTCGGGGACACAAAKGTTGTCATCGCCGCAGTCCACGAGGATGTAAGCCTGAGAGGAAGAGGGGGCACACAGACAGGCATCGTTGAGGAAAAATTTAGGTGAAAACAGAAAAAGTAAAACACATCTGGAGCAATCAAGAAATCAGATGCCTGCAAAACAGAAAAGTCCASTACTTTAAAATCTAAATTACAAAATCTAAGTTAAAATTTTTAAATGTGCAAAGTCCAAAATTCAAAAGTCCTTGTAACGATTACAAACAAACTATTTGGAAACGACTTCTTTCATAAACTAGTTGGACACAGTTMGAGCTGGAAGTGTCTAAACATTCTTTAGAAAGGAAATCCAAAATGATAAAGCACTGCGCACCAAACTCCGGCTCTGGAAAAATTATACGATCACATTCAACAAGTGGAAAAGCAATCAGGAGGGTGCATATTTTTCCATCAGGAGTGCATGTTTCACAAACCAATAAATAAAGAGAAACATTGGTCCACAGCTGAGGTTTGTTGTGCTGCCAGCTGGTTTTTCTTTCACATTCTTTTTAGTTATTACCTTCATACATCAAACGGCATTAAAATGGTGAAATTCTGGATATTAGCTGGTTAACTGGGTTGTCTTGTAACAGGGACGATTGGTTAGCCTGGAAGCTAACAGTGAAAACAAAGTGAAATTACTGCAGCTTTTAGTTTTTTCTATCCTGCTGCCATGAAACGAGGCTTAGTGTGTGCGTTTGTTAGCAAAATACTGTATCTCGATGAAACCCATCGACAGTACAGCTGATTCACTTTTGCATTTAACTCGATTCAAGATAGCCGCCGCAGTGTGGTATTAGCAAAAAGTCACTCCCAGTGTATGCTCAAAGCGCTAACAGATTTTGCTTGAATACCCTCCAAACCAAAAAGTCAAAGAAAACATCTTTATATTTTAGAAAATTGGGACAAAACACATGATTTTACACATTTTGTGTACATAACTAGCATATTTTCTTTTGAATTTGACCAAGCTAAAATGTAACAGGAAGTGAAATCATGAGAGGATTATTTAGGAAAAGGGAACTCCCTAGAATTTTTTATTGAAATAATATTATTTGAACTCTGACTCTTCTTCATCTCTCCCTGAAAGTGACTCAAAATGATAAAAAAAACATCAGATTCTTCTCTAGCACTGCTCTGTTCACATGAAGACATTACCCTCCTGACATCGCTTCCTGTTATTTCACATGCTATTTTATGGCGTTGGATCCATTTAAATTTGCATGCGCGAGATCTTGTTTTTTCTTGCGAGAGTTCTAACAGTATTTTGCCACCATACTATTTCATCAATTGTTTTTCTCAGCGGTGTGATTTTTATTATTTCTTTTTTGCAATATGTTATCATAGACAGTATTCCAAAAATACTTTCATATTTATAACAAAATTTGATGTCACAGGCAGTTATAGTAAAGTTTCAGTTCATTGCTAATGTTAATCAAAACTGGAAATAATCATTTTCAGATGTAACTGGAACTGTAGCCCCCTTGTTTTGTTTCGAAGCAATAAACTAAAAATGCATTAAAGAAATCTTATCTTACCAGAAAGACAAATAGCTGAAAAGCTTGATGCCAAACAATTCAGAAGTTTCGTAATTTCTCAATTCATAATCAGGGTTATTACAGTTAATTAAAACTAACTAAATAACAAAAACTGAAATTGAAAAAACATTTTAGTTAATTAAAATAAATAAAAACTGTAATAAAATGAAAAAAAAAACAATAAACTAAAACTGAATAATCTTTTTAGAAAACTGATTAAAACTAACTGAAATTATAGGTAGAATATCCTTAGTTTTAGTGTTTGTCAAATTATTTTGAGACATGTGGATCTTTTGTTTTAATCAAGTAGTTTCACATTAGCTGTGGTCTGTAACAACACTTGTTTACAGTCTGCGGCTCAGCATCACCTGCTAAATGACGACAACAAAAGTTGGGAGAAAACAGTAAAGAGTCCACTTTAAGATTTCTTTGAATATGACTGAGAAAAATCAAATCAAGTGTTTTGTAGTGGAAACAGGTGATAAAACAGGTGGAATACTTCTCAAGAGAAAAACTGCATGAATCAAACTCACACAAGATGCTAACTATGACTATCTCGACACGCTAGCTCCTCTCAGTAGCTCCATGAAAAACAAACATGTAGCAGCAGGTTGGAGACAACTATTGTCATCGTCCTAAAATAATCATTAAGTTTTTAGTTGGAAAAACTGAGTTACACAATTATTTTAGTAAGGTGTCGCTATAATGGACTGCTAATAGCGACCAAATAGCTAATGGTTAGTTAACTCCCAAGCTTAAGGATGCATTGGCAATGTTTATTCAAACTATAAAATAACTAATACTAGAACTAATAAAAACTAAACTAAAACTAAGTATTAAAAATGCAATAATAACTAATAAAAACTAGCAAATCCACTGTAAAAACTAATTAAAACTAACTGAATTAAAAGAAAAAAGTCACAACRAAATAAAACTAAAACATAATGAAAAATCCAAAATTATTATAACCTTGTTCATAATCAAACATTTTCTTATGAATGAGATTTCGTGTGTATATTGGACAGTCAATATATCCACCTGCTCTTGAAGGAAGGTGCTGCTGTACTGGTTGAGAACAGGTGGCAGAGCTTGGTCGTGTGAAGGTGGAGCCAGGCTGTAGTTGAGGGCCAGTGAGATGGGGGTCAGTTTGTCCCTGAACTCATCCTCCTCCTGTACAAACAGACAAAAGTGTCGACGTTTWGTTCGTCTGATGAGTGTAGCTGATGCCTCCTGCAGGGTCACAGCTCGGTAACCAGAGGCTGTGCGCTGGGCGTGGCTCGGCTCACCCTCAGATAAATGATGTAGCTCAGGCAGGAGCGTGGGCGGCTGTGACCGAGCCGGAGGAGCCCGGTGCGCTGGGGCTGCTGCGAGTCCAGGAAGAGAACTCGCTTTACTCCACCTCTGGTGCCTTTCRACCAATCCAGCTGCAGCTCGGCTCTCAGATCTGGACAGAAGACAGCGACGATGAAGAAGACCTGACACTGCTTTAATACCTAAATTCACCATTTCTGTTCCAATAAATAATCACTGACGAGCTTTGGTGTTAACCCTGTAGAGAATCATCAGACAGTGGAAACAATCTAYCTGCAGTGAGAAATGTCTCCCATAAATATCACTCTGCATATTTTTCTTTCTGAGYGTTWCGAAGCAGTGATTTGTCTGCAGGAAATTCTATCAAGACGTACACTGGATCGGACGCAGACTCTTTAATCACTCTGACATCTTTCCTCCTTTAGCCTCCCTCATTCTCAAACAGCAAAGYGCACAAAAAGCTTACCTACAGAGCTGGGGATCCCCACACCGCTCACCGCTGCACACACACCCACTTTAAGGCTRAAGGAACAAAASAAAATGGTYTCAATTAAYGCGCAGCAATTTGTACACCAGTGKTTCCCAACCYTTTTAGACTTGGGTACACCTGAGCCAAACGTAATGATGATTCTCCAAAACTACAATGTACAACAACTGATTATTAAATGACAATTATTTATTTAACTCCCTRGAACAGTTAATTCTTGGCATTTTATTCTTTCCAACCAGGGGTGCACCGATAAATCGGCCCGCCGATCTATCGGCCCRATTCCCTTAATTTTAGGTGATCGGCAGATTTTTACAYGAGAAAMCAAWWTTTTCAGCCGATTTTACCTACTTTCGCAAAGGTYTGAAAATCAGCTGCCYGWCCCCKTTTCCTCTGCTGTGYGCTGTGAGAGAGGGCTGACAGACCCGCCCACCAAGTCACGTCGTCTGCACATGAGTTGTTACAGTTGAACAGGCGTTATGTCGCTRGTTTGTCAGTATTATATTGTTAAAGAAGACGACCAAAAGGTAGCAATTTGCAATATATGTAAGACTGAAGTAAATCGTGGTGGAGACAAAATCAGATCCTTCAATACTACAAACCTCGTTCGCCATTTAATAAACATATACCAACATTTATAAAATGCCATATTTCTTATATTTGTGTAATTGTGACCCTCTGGTAGTGTCAATAAAAAAATTAGGGTCCCTTCCCTCATTTAAGTTGTCCATCCCTGGTATAATAAGTTTAATGCTTTTATTTATTACAACGTCTCAAATGTAAGCTCGTTGAGGGGAAAAAATAAAAAGCTACGTCACTTAACCAAATAAACGGTTTGTAAYCATTTCCTTCTTCCTGTACTCCAGGGGGCTACAAGAATTAGTGGAGGCCCCTCTATTAGACACACAGATATGGGAGACTGGGAAATGTTTCTGCATTTCCGCCACTCGTGTTTATTACTCTGTGTTTTTATATGTCTTATCAAGATTTTTAAATCAACAACAGGAAAGTGACTCCCACAGGAAGAGCTGGCCGTATCAGAATCTGGGGGAACCTGACGGATGCAACACTCCTGTTAGATCTGACAACATGAGGTGGGATGTAAAGGCCCTCGTGTTGTTACGGTGTGTGTTGGTGTGTTTCAGATTAGGGAAGGTGTGAACAGCCACAGTGCAGATGWAATAAGTAATTGTGTGTTTGTTAATAATTAGGACTCCCACGAGATGATGCCGTAATAATGACGATTAGTTTGTTTTTGTTGAAAACATGTGTGGTCTGTGTGATAAAATCCAAGTTTCTGTTTTTAAAAATGGATTCCATACGTTTCAGCCGCTCCAAGGCGGAGTTTGTTTGATTTACGCTGCGTAGTTTCGGGAGTGTGCGGCRTCAGCGAGAGCTTCGTGTCACACTTAAATGTACGTTACACAGAAATGAGCCCCAGGTTAGTCATTACTGTATGTAATTTTCCCTTTAATGCATCTGTGCACCAACATCCTACACCCTGTTAGACGACCCTCCCAGCACGCAGTCCATGTAGTAAATTTCCTTACGCAATGCCGAGGGTCTGTTTCAAACAAAACACAAACACAAATCTTTATAAGATCTGACCGGAGCACAGTTTTTACCTCAAACAAGAAGGCATTGTAGCTGGATTATTCAAAAAGTATGGATGGATTTAGATTAAACGTGTTTTTAGAGGCTGGATATGCTTCAACTTAGAGGGAACCAGAAACCAGATTTTGATCTGAATTTAATTTACTTTTAAATCAGTTTTGGTACAAATGAAGTATACAGTCTTGGAGTGCTCTTGTCTGTATTGTGACTTTCCTATTTTTTTTTACCTTGTTTTATTAGGTCCAGTGTTTCAGTTGGTCCATACGCAGCTGTTTGGCATTTGTTAGCACTTTTGAAACATGAGGAGTTTGAGCAAAACGCTGCACAAAACAATTTCTTTTCCAGCATAACTGGCCCTAATTTATGTAATTCACCAATTATCTTATTCCCTGTCTGCCTTTGTCTTTCTATCTAGCTCCAGGTGTTAATCTATTACTTTACTATTACTTACCTTTAACATGAAAACAAAGGGATGTATGAAAAATAAACATGAATGAATGAAAGGATATTGGATTCATCCCCTGAGGGAAATTATTTTGTCATAACAAAGCTATAGCAAATACTATTTCTCTGGGATTGAACCTCTGTCTACGTCAAATACACAAGCAATTTGTAAAAACGTTGTACTATATATATATATATTAGGGTTGCAATGATACAGAAAATTCACGGTTCGGTTCGATACTTTAGTCTCACGGTTCGACATTTTTTCGATACAAATAACAGAAATTTCCATGCC